TTCATTGTTGGGAAGAGTTGGGTTTTTAAGGGTGTGAAGAGGGGGTTGGTGGAGGTTGCAGGCGCGAGGAAGATGGAGAAGTTGGACATGAGCTTTAACGGTGGTGGCAGCTCTTTTGGGTTGGGTTTTTGTTATTTAAATATTTTATTTTTCAGAAATATCATTTGGCTTAAAAAATGAACAACAATATACTAAACAACCCATAGTTAATACTCAGGGGTAAATTGGTCATTTTTGTTATTCAGACTGTTGATTCAGATAGAAAAGTAAACAACAACCCAAATTTATCCAGACAGCTAAATTTATCCAGACAGACAAATTTATCCATACAGGACTTAATAGAAAATTTGGTAAACAGCCCCTTAGCCTTAAATGTATCATGTTCTTTAATACTATGTTCTTTTTTGTTTAAGAATTCTTAAATTTTAAAACTAAATCAATGAGAGTTAATAACAAGAAGTCAAATTACATGAGAAAATAACGTACTTTAATTTGGTTCTTATTTTTGTGTAACGTACTTTCAAAACTTTCGTTTTGGTACCTAAGTTGCTATTAACTTTTATCCAGTTAATACTTCAACAAATAATACTAAGTTGGATACCACATCAGCATGATAACCGGTTAATGTTTCAACCGGTTACCCGAGTACTTAAATATTTAAAACTTTACATCTTAGATATTAAAATAAAGTTTTAAGAGTATGTTATCCAAAATATGAATCAAGTTAAAGTACGTTACTTTTTCATGCAATTTGGCCTTTATTATGAAATATTTTTTTATAAAAGATATAAATTTAAAAGTTGAATAACGTTTCTTAAGATCGATTGTCTATTTTACGGTTTTTATTAATTCAAATTAAAACGAAAAAGAATGTTGAGGGTTTAAAATGTAAATATGGTAAATTATAGGGGGGATAATGATAACTTAGTTATTTTACAATTTCAGGACGACGATTTCGAATCGAAGCTGTTAACAGAGTCGGAAGCTCTGCAACTTCACGTCTTCACCCTTGAACTTCGCCGTCTTTCGTTCTCAGGTCTCTCTCTATCCTTCTATTTCTGCCATTCTTTTTCTCGTTTCTTTCAACGAATTTTGTTTGATTTTGATTAATTTAGGCGGCGTTAGGGTTTTACGGTTGCAATTTCGACGTCAAAAATTCAAGTCGAGATCTGAGCTCGTTAAACGCCTGTAAGTTGTTATTTAACTTACGTGATTTGGTTCATTTTCCATTTGGCATTGATTTCATCGATTTGTCCTATCATGGATTACATATGTAAATGGATAAATGGAATCTAGGAAATCGAGGTTAATAGTTGAACCTAAATATCTAATTGAACAGAGTTTTCATTCTTGAATTTCAATTTCTCATGCCAAATTGCGAGGAACTTACTCATGATCACTTTTCTAGAAGGTTTGGCATAACAGTCGTCATGGTCCCATGGCTCAAAGCTTGAGTTAAGCCTGTGTCAAGTCAAACCATGGCTGATGGCATGATGCACAGTGATATTTGATTTCATTTACCTTTTTAACGTCTTATTATTAGTTTTTGATATATTACTTAATTTAAATTGTTTATTTTCATTGATTCATTGCATAACAGTAGAAAACATATGTTTATGTATATAATATTATAGGGGACGTTTCATTGACAAACCATACAAACCAATCTTAGATGTTCATATAGTCTAATAAATATCTGATTTTATTTTGTTTCTTAATCTAAAAGTCATGATCATAGCACAGAGAAGTATTAAAGACTTCAATGATTTATTAAGCAAGAGAAATGTTGTATCTATACTATATTATAAAACATTTGACAAAAACTCTTAAAAATCATTTTTTATACATGATGTATTGTTTATTGATGCATATTACTTAAAATTCATGATTGCAAGTAAATAAAAACATAAATACAATTTATTAAAGGGAAATTTATAAAAATAACCGGTTTACACAACCCTTTGCCACAAAATAACCACATTTTAGAGGTTTTGCCAAAATA